TTATACTGGGATGTTTGGGAACTGCTTTTGTCCAATACTACTTCAAAGCCAAATCTATCCCTCTCATGTTATCTTTCTTGTCTTTGGCTATTGCCTGGCTGGGGAATCTCGCGAACGTCCAGCGCTGCACAGATTTTGGGATTTTTCATTTCCTTGTTACTGCAAGCTTGGAGTGTGCTGTGAGTCTATTTGGTCTCCATTTTCATACTTTCCTCGTCGTTGCAGCTGGAATTTTCTTGATGGTCTTGAGGTGGAAGATCGTGGAGGCCAAATTCGTATCATTGAGGTATGATGGCATGCAAGAAAGCGTCCTGAAGGATTGGAAACGTTTGGAGGAATTGTATGGCGGCCATGACTCCACCATCCAAACGCAGCAGTTGGAGCAACCCAACAATATTGGCTAAACTTGAAGATGCCATGGGATAAGATGCTTAATAGATGGGTTATATTCTCATGAATTACAGTTGATTTAGCAAAGGAAATGTTTGTTCTTAATTACATGTTCTAGGATTAAATACCAAAATGATTTGTGGTCAAAGGGATGCTCATATAAACTCTCTGTAGTTTAAAATCCGTTTGGATTAACTGTTTTTTGGGATATTTTTAAAAATTGTACTGTAGTTGAATTTTTATAGTATATTTTAGAAAATATTTTGAAATATTTAAGAGTAGAAGAGTTTTTAGAATATATTTTGGATATTTTTTAAATATTAAAAATTTAATATTTGAAAAACTAGTTTTTGAAAAACTCTTGAATCCAAACAGAGCATAACTAGAGTGAAATGTTTAAATTTCTTTCGTACTTCGCTGTCCTAAAAGTTAGATTGGTAATTTAGTTATCACTTATTAAGTGAAAATGTATTGATGCAATTTTCTTCAAGGACTAAAGTTGCAATTTTAGAAGATTGCCATCTTTTTCCTCGACAACGCCTTTGCCGTTTGTCTTTTCCAACCATATTACAACCCTGGCCAAATTAGAACTACCTGGATTTCAAAAAGGAAAATGGCCAATTTCATCTTTGAACTTTTTTTAGTGGTACCGATTTAATCCCTAACTTTTATTTCTGATCAATTTGATATTTGAATTTATTTTGTAGTTTTAATTAAGGACCTTCGCGGTAGCACCACTATCTAAAATCGACCTGACTCCAAATTAACTAACCAAACAAGAAAATTATGGGAACGTCACTCATGAAATTGTAATAAAACAAGTAAATCCTGTAAAACTTATTTGATAAAATTTTAAATTGTGTAAAAAACCACTAGATAAAACTTTTTTAAAGTTTCATCTCGTGAAATTTTATATGATTTACTTGATTTGTTATTATCCTATGAGTCACGTTCCCAAAATACCTTTATTAAATTGATCAAGTAGGAGTCAGATTGATTTAAAGTAGCAACACCACCACGGAGGTCTTTAATTGAAATCGCAAAATAAGTTCACGTATCTAATTAGTTAGGGATAAAAGTTAGAGACTAAATTAGCACTAGTAAAAAAATTTACGGATAAAATTGTTCATTTTTCCAAACAAAAACTCACATATCATGAATTCAATGATGATAGTATATACACTGTCAGTGTAGGAAAGATTTACTCAAAACAAATGCACGCTTCCACTACTATTTTTCAAGCATATATATGGTCATAGTCATCAGAAAATCGAAAGGGTTTTAGGTATTCATATTGAAACTCCATAAAGCTTTCATGCCATTTGCAAATCAAGAAAAATTGTGTTTGTTCAAATTAAAGCTAATGATAGGAAGGAATTTTCCAATGCTATTCTAATGATGCTTAGCATTGATGGAATTGGGTTCCAGTAGCATCGAGTCCTCTATTTCTCTCAAATTTGATGGTAAATTAAGTAGGAAAAGAGAAGGAAGATCGTGGCTGTTTTGGCCTGATTTTTCACTACTCTAATTGAGAAATAACCTTAGGTACGCTCGTAAGATTTAATTCTCCAATTGTATTACGTATTAGATGAGCCTTATTCTTACCAAATAACACACTACCAGGGTTATTTTAGATTAACCTACGTATTCTCCTGACACAAACCCAATCATGTCAGTTGTCACTATTTTAAAGCAATTAAACAATTACAGATTTAACGTTCTAATTGACATCAAGTTGCTAAATTAATTCAACGTCTAGACTCAAGATATTCAATTAACAAAACAACCATAAACATTACAAACAGAGAATATGCAAATACCAGTAAATAAGAGGAATAAATAAAATTAATTTGATCTCACAATTTTTAGATGAACCAAAGCTTCCGTTGTTCCTTGACTAGAAAAAGAGATTTAGTTCATACCCGTTGAGGAGAAAATCCGACACGAAATTGCAAAAGTGATTGTCGAAAACATTGTTCTCTGTTGAGATGATTCAAATTCAATCGAATGTTCCTTGTTTGGATTGTCATTTTCTGCCAGAAAATTGCGTCGTTTTTCGTGATCATATTTTCCTATTATCTTTTTCCCTCACATACATCAAATTGTTACAATAATTTTTTCATGAAAAATGACGAAAAATACAATCCAAACGAGATTATCTCAAAAGAATGGCCAATTATACCCTTTTTGACCTTCCGGCCAAGTCCTACGGCCGAATCACCCGAGAAGGAAACAAATTTTATTCCTTTCTTAAGTCTGCTGCTTGTTTCCTCTTTGTGCGGCCGGCCCCACGTTGCACTGGAATTGGAGTCCTAATCAAACTTTGACTCTCCTTTCCTATTGAGCCGCACCAATCAGACTAGGAGATCTCCTAATTGGCCCGTTTTCTATTTGTGCTAAACTACCTTTTCCAATTCAAATCTAACAATTAGCTAATGGAATATTTGCAGTCCCACGTTGTACTTTTAATTGGCAATTGGTGTCTCGCGCTTGTCCTGCATTTTTTGGACACGTTAAGGCCTGATTTGACGCGCCTACGTCAAATAGTAATTGTAGTGGAGAATTTGCACCTTTTTACCATATTTTATTCAAACTCCCTGCAATCAATATAAATTTTCAAAAGGAATAGAATCCATCAATTAATGCACACTTGGTAATATAATAGGAGGAAATTAATTACAAAATAAATGACACAATTGCGACTTATCAATTACTTCCTGATTTTTCTTAAACTGACAATTGTATCTAATTATTTGGACATTACATTTTTTTCTTAAAAAAAATAATGAAGATACATTATCTGTATTCTTAGTTAAATTAAGATTTATATAGTGAATACACGTCTTATCGAAACCATGATCCTTGCATTACGTTGACGGCGACTAACATTTTGGTTCACATCTTTACATTTCTACTATAAATCAGGTTTAGAAAGTATAAAAATAAAGAGTTTAGAACGTAAAATATATTTTCTGATTTTTTGTTTTGGTAGAGAATGTGACCATTTTATCCTTCACAGTAAGATTAAAATAACAAAATGCAAAATGACGTAACACTATAAAGCTACTTTTGCTTTGTATATAGTATTAGGTACACAAAGGTATTATTTTTTATCACATACTTTACTATAAAAGAAAATAAAGTAGTACGATAATGAAGAGATATAAAAAAAAACTTGATTATGTGAATAATTTGGTTTAAAAATTGGTAGATTTAACTCACAACCTTTTAACATGTTTTTGAGTTGTAAAGTACAGCGTACAAAACATTTGAACATGTTTTAGATCTTTTGTGAAACAATTTGAGGGAAGAAAGCAATTTGAAAAGCTAAGGACGTGCGAGAGTGGGCAATTGCAAACAACGTTTGGAGATTTGGAAGTTTTTCCTTTATAAGTTTGTATAGTTTTCAAGAGTTCAAGGAGAGGATGGCGTTGTTCACCTCAGCTCAAAGTTTGTATAGTTTTTCCTTTAGGATGAAACAGATTTTCGCAAAGGATTAGCTATTTTTGGGGGTGTTTTTGAAAAATTTTACTGTATCAGAGTTTTTAGAATATATTTTGGGATATTTTTAGAAAATATTTTGGAATATTTAAAAGTAGTAGACTTTTTACAATATATTTTGGAATATTTTTTAAACATTAAAAAAAATTTAAACTACTTTTAGAGTACTTTTAAAAATTTTTTATAGTATTTAAAAAACTAATTTTTGAAAAAACAGAAGGATCCAAATAGAGCCATATATGTTGAAGGTACCACATGTTGTATTTGGATGTCTTGAAGTTTTTAACAGAAACCTTACGTCCATGGGGCAAATCGTATGTCTTGAGTTCTTGGGGAAAACAATTACTCACCCGCCAAATTCAAGAAGATAAAGTGGAACTAACTTACTTTTTCTTGTACCTATAATAAAATTTTAAAAAGCAGAACTCCCATCTTTCAAGTACGTTTTTCGTGTGACAAAATTGTTTTGTCTTTACTGTTCTATTTTACGGACAATTCTTTAAACATATGGTGGATATCAGGGTGGTGTGCTTAAAATATTGAACCGAGCACGTATAATTTATTTGTGGAGACGTGAATCAGAAGGTCAATTTAACAAACAAATGATATGGTTCTACTCATTGACTGGTGGACCAGCGCGTCGCCAGATATACAGGATTTCTTTTGCTTTTCTTGATTAGATTGAAATGCACTGGGAATTGTCGATTCTGTTTGTTTTTCTTTTGACCGCAACTTTTTGATGGTTTCAGACCCACCAAAATGTTTAGGTTACAAAAAAGCTTTATGAAGAATGTTTTCATTGGAGACGGAAGCATGGATCCATCCACACCAATTTTTTAAGGGCTGGCAGCATAATCAATCTGCAGTGGTGTGGACGGTCGGCTTTCAAAAAGACATAAAAAAGTTGTTGGGGTTTTATCACATTATTTTCAACAATCAATCTGCAGTGGTTGAAAAGCAGCTCAGATGTTTTAGTTACATTAAAAAGTTTATTATGAATGTTAAATGATGTTTTCATGGGACAAAAAGTTGATGCTTTATCACTTGTATAAATGGTACCCCCCATCTGACCTCCTTTCATCAAATAACCAATGTACCAAAGAAATCCAATGGGGCATCTGAATTTTCTTGATACTACTCCTTCATTACCATTCTTGTTCTTATTCATAACTATTTTGGTCGCCAGCCAAATTCCATTTGGCTGCACTAGACAAGCCCATTCTTCAAATTACACTTGCATTGAAAGTGAACGACAAGCTCTTCTTCGATTCAAAAATAGCTTGGCAGATGAATCTAATCGTCTATCTTCGTGGATTGGAAAAGACTGTTGTTCTTGGGATGGAATTAGTTGCCACAAAACAACTGGCCATGCAGTGACACTTGATCTACGCAATTTGGAGCAACCTGAAATGGATGAAGCTTTCAATACTTCATATCATTGCAGATCTTGCCTAGTAGGTGACCAGTTAAGTCCATCTTTGGTCAATCTGACCAATCTACGATACTTGGACTTGAGCGTGAATAATTTTTCAGGACTTCAAATTCCCACATTTCTTGGATTGCTCAAAGACTTGAGATACCTCAATCTCTCGTCTGCAGGGTTTGTTGGTGAAGTACCCCATCATTTAGGAAATCTCTCGCATTTACAGTACTTAGATATTGGTTTTGCAAGTCCAAATAGCATCCCAATAGATAATAACTTGACAAGTAATGATGTGGGATGGGTCGCTAAACTCTCTTCTCTTGAGTACCTGTCCCTAAGCGGAGTAGGCCTTTCAAATGCTCGAGATGGTTCCTAGCAGTGACATGCTTCCTTTGCTAAAAACACTAGATTTGGAGGGTTGTGAACTTGTAGTTCCTCATCTTTTACACGTAAATTTCACGTCTCTTTCTTCCCTTGAACTGGTTCCAATCAATTTCTCAACCCCACCCTGCCTCCTTGGCTCGTAACTTAACCGGCCTCCAAGATCTTGCGTCTTTCCTATAATAATTTGGATGACAAGGTTCATGATACATTTAGGCAAATGACCTCTCTAGTTAACCTCGATCTGGGAGGAAATCACTTTGATACTTCAACATTGAGATCCATTTGCAACATTAGCAGTCTTACTAGTTTAGATATGAGTTATAATGAGTTGCAAGGGTCAATACCAAGTGAAATAGGCCAGTTTCCACAACTAACTGTACTAAAACTGTCCAAAAATAGGCTAAATGATACCACCCCCTCCAGCCTTTGGCAACTCACCAAGTTACAAGGATTATACATAGGTGCAAATGCATTAACCGGTGAACTATCCGAACACCATTTTGCAAAACTCAGAGAGCTAAAGAGGTTGGACATTTCTGATAACTTATTCTCTCTACACGTGAGCTCCTCCTGGGTTCCTCCTTTTCAACTACAATATATTTGGATGGGATCTGTCAAAATAGGGCCCCGGTTCCCAAATTGGCTACGCACGCAAAAGGAGATTGTAGAGTTAAATATGTACAATGCGAGCATTTCAGATGCCATACCCGGCTGGTTCGGAGTGCTTTCTAATGATACTGGTGGCATAATTCTCTCCGGTAACAAATTGGAGGGATCTCTCAACTCATTTATTTCAGGTATTTAAAATTTGGATCTTTTTCAAAGTTCATTTACAGGACATAGTACAGTGGATGACGTTGTTGTTCTTTTTTTTTTTAATTAAATTTTTATGCAACAGTGGCTGATGATGATAAAAAGTTTGTACAAATGTGGTATCTCCTCCTCAATCACAACCATTTCACTGGTAGTATCCCGGAAGACTTGTGCAAGTTGAGAACTTTAATTTATTTAGATCTATCCAACAACCATTTGTCCGGAAGAATTCCTTTATGCTTGGGAAACTTGCGATATTTGAGTTTCCTACATTTGGGAAGTAACAGCCTATATGGTCAGATCCCAGGTTCACTGGGCAACTTGGGAGAACTTATTAGTCTGCAATTGAGTAAAAATAGGTTTGATGGGAAGCTCCCTCCTTCAATGCAGAATCTGAAAAGATTGCAGTCCCTGGATCTCGGAGAAAATAGAATAGCGGATACTATACCAGCGTGGATTGGGGAAAGGTTATCAGACTTGGAGTTTCTGACACTTCAGTCGAATAATTTCCACGGAGGCATCTCTAATACACTCTGCCAACTCCCATATCTTCAAGTGCTCAACCTAGCACATAATGATTTATCTGGATCTATTCCTCACTGCTTTAAAAACTTCACCGCGATGGAATCAACTAAACCAGGAACATTTCAGTTCTCAAAGAGTTCTTATATTGATCCGTTACTGCGAAACTTTAAGGCAGGAATAGAGCTTGAGTACTTAAAAAACATAGATTCTGTTAAATCCATTAGCCTCTCAGGAAATAATTTGGTCGGTGAAATCCCGGATGAGATAATGGGTCTCGTTGGGTTGCAAAATTTGAACCTTTCAAAAAACCATCTAAATGGAAGGATCCCCAAGAACATTGGCAATTTGAAGCAACTTGAAACACTTGATTTATCGATGAATGAACTCAGAGGTGAAATCCCTCCAAGCTTGTCGAGTATATACCCATTGAGCTCTCTGAATTTGTCATACAATAAGCTATCAGGGCCGATACCATCTGGAAATCAACTTCAGACCTTGAATGATCCATCCATCTATGAGGGAAACATTGGACTCTGTGGGAAGCCACTCCTGAACAGCTGCCCTGCAGGCGAATCGCCAACAGAAAATGGGCCTGTTCTTGACGACAAAGGTCACAGCGAGTCTGATTTCTCATGGTTTTATGCCGGTTTTGGACCTGGATTCAGTGTTGGTGTAGTGGCAGTTGTGGGAATCCTTCAATTCAAGCAGTCATGGCGCTATGCATTATTCAAATGTGTGGAAAATGCCTATGACAGAATTTGGGTTATGATCGGATTGAAGACTTCTCGTCTACGGAGGAATTTCCATTGAGCAAGTATATGTACAAAAGCACATAACAATTCTGTTTTTTCTTATTCTGCAATAAGGCACCACAATTCAATTGGCTGATTATCCATAATTACTTGCACCTATGTTTTTAGCGTTATTTATACTATAAATAATCCGATATGAACAAATGAATCGGAGCGCTTCAATAGAAAATCTATAGCTTGTTGAGAGGACGGCCACCTTGGACTGGGGACGACGCACAATGGGTCAGAGGGACTCAGTCTCGGACTCGGCCACCCCATCAAACTTTCACGGACGTTCCATCTTATTATTAATAGTAACAATTAAGTGGGATAAGATATTTTTATTAGAATCAATGGAAGTTACTAGAAGTCTCAAGTTATTAATTTTTTTTAACACAAATAAACGAAAAATTATAGAACTGAAATGCTTACTAATTATCCTTAGAGAACATTTACTAACATTTGTATTTTGTTTGTGTTACAATGTTTTAGGCCAATAACCATTCAAGCTGCTATGGATCTGGTTTTAGAATGGAGACTTTCTTCTAGGTGCTTTGAGAAGGAAGATTACTAGTTTTATTGTGCCTTTATGTAGCTACATTCTGAGTATGGTAACTCCAGATGTAAATGTAATACAAGGATTAGTCATCCCCTCCTGTAATCTCCGAGTTCTACCTCAATAAGAACGTTTATATTTTCCAGGTGGTTTTAATTAATAAAAATGTTTATATGTATGCACAAAAAATAGGGAACGTGCGATCTAATTTAAATAACCCTCGTAGCGTGTTATTGATTAGGGTTAGGTTTTTCTAGTTATTAATGTAATTGAAAAATTAATTCCTATGGTCGTACCTAGGAGTATTTGCTGATTAGGGGTAATCAACGGTCGTACCTTGGTTATCAATAATTTAAGGAAAAATTGGTCGTCATACTATAACTAGCCTATTAATAAATTAAGTGAATCTCACTTGCATCAATGATCAGATAAATGGACTGTGCCTGAGTAGTTGCATCCTTGGCTAGAATTTATTTATTCCTGATTAAATTCCTGCTATATTTGTGCTAGTGATTTATTCATTTTTAATTAAATTGTCTAATTATTCTTAGTTTCATTCCGGTGAAATCCCCCCTTATCAATTGAACTTTAAAAAGAGACAGATATCTCCAGTCCCTGAGGAGAGGACCCTACTTGCCACTGTCTATTATTTAGTAATTTTTGTCAATTAATTAACTCTGGTATATCGGATTAAGCAAACTCTTCGGGAACAGGGTGAATCAAGTAACCCATTACACACCTAGAGTCCCTGCTCCAATACCTAGAATTAATTATTGACTGCTCTTAGTGGTAGCTAGGTTCTATATTATTATTATTATTATTGCACAGGCTGACGACCTGTCAATTTTTGGCGCCGCTGCCGGGGACTGGCGTTATTATTTGTTTCTTCATTAAGTTCATTTTTGCTCTAATTTTCTGGAATTTTTCTAGTGTATGCCTAGGTCTTCTCGTACAGGTGAATTGATTTTTGACCCCGAAGTAGAGAAGACCGCGCGTAGAACAAGGAAAGAAACCAGACAGCTCAGAGAGGAGCACTCCAGTGCTACATCTCAGAGACTTGAGCCCGAAGTTGAACCAGCAGATTCGTTTGGTGACACTTCGAGTGATTCGTACCAAGAGAACGTCGCCATGGCAAACACACAAACATTAAGGGAGTTGGCTGCTCCAAACTTGACCCAACAACCTCTTTGCATAACTTTTCCTCACCTTAGTGAGAATGCAGCTTTTGAATTAAAACCTGGTTTAATACATTTGTTGCCTGTTTTTCATGGTCTGCCAGGAGAGGAACCCCACAAACACATGCAGGAATTTGATGTGGTGTGTTCGAGTATGAAGCCTTCGGAAGTAACTGATGAACAAATTAAATTAAGGGCCTTCCCTTTCTCTCTAAAAGATTCGGCAAAGGACTGGTTATACTGTCTACCTGCAGGCATTATCACCACGTGGCCAGAGATGCAGAAAAATTTTTTGAAAAATATTTCCCTGCATCCAGAGCTGCTAGTTTGCGAAAGGAAATATGTGGCATCAAGCAATTTCACGGGGAATCCTTGTATGAATATTGGGAGAGGTTCACCAGGCTGCGTACCCGATGCCCGCATCACCAAATAAGTGATCAACTGCTGATTCAGTATTTCTACGAGGGACTACTAATGAACGATAGAAATATTATTGATGCAGCAAGTGGTGGTGCACTGGTGAATAAGACTACCCAGGAGGCATGGGACTTAATCGAGCGAATGGCAGAGAATTGCCAGCAGTTTGGTACGAGAGCAGACGTTCCTACGAGAAAGGTCAACGAGGTAAGTTCATCTTCCATTGAACAGCAACTATCTGAATTAACCTCATTTGTTCGACAGATAGCTGTAGGAAATGCACAGCAGGCCAAAGTGTGTGGGATTTGCACGAATATTGGTCATACCACTGACTCGTGCCCACAGTTACAAGAGGAGGGAATTGAGCAAGCAAACATGGCTGGTAACATGCCCATGCCACGTAGACAGTATGACCCCTATTCCAACTCATACAATCCGGGTTGGAGGGATCATCCAAATCTGAGCTATGGGGGAAATAAGCAACAAAATTTCATCCCCAATAGACAACAGGGTTTCCAGCAACAATATCAAACAAGGAATCAACCCTCCTCTGCCTCAGGTATGTCCCTAGAAGACATGGTTAAAACCATAGCCTCTAATACTATGAAATTTCAACAGGACACTGAGCCCAACAATCAAGAGATAAAAGCGCGTATGCAAAACTTGGAAAATCAGATGAGTCAATTAGCCTCAATTGTCAACCGACTGGACTCCC